GGTTGGGGTGCAGGAGGGGGTATGGGCTCTGGAGGGAGTTTGGATGCAGGAGGGAGCTCAGGGTTGGGGCAGGGGGTTGGGGTGCAGGAGGGGGTATGGGCTCTGGAGGGAGTTTGGGTGTGGGAGGGGATTCAGGGCTGGGGCCGCCAGGGGTTGGGGTGCAGGAGGGGGTTAGGGGTGAAGGCTCCAGCTGGGCGGCGCTTACCTAGGGCAGCTCCCGGAAGTGGCCGGCATATCTGGCTCAAAGGCAACCAGGTGGCTCTGCGCACTGCCCCTGCCTGCAGGCATTGCTGCCGCAGCTCCCATTGGCCACAGTTCCTGGCCAATGGGAGCTGCAGAGTTGGCACTCGGGGCAGGGACACCGCGCAGAGACCCCCTGGTCACCCCTGCGCCTAGAAGCTGGACATGCCAGCCACTTTTGGGAGCTGCATGGGGCCAGGGCAGGTAGGGAGCCTGCCTTAGCCCTGCTGCGGCCCGCACTGGACTGTTGGCCTATTAAAATTTCCCAGATGGCTTTCAATAGCCGCCGGGAGATTGAGGCCGATTCCAGGAAACTCCCGGCCAATCGGGGAGGGTTAGCAACCCTAGCTGCTGGTGCCAGCAGTGTCTGGCATTTGTGTTCTCCAAAACGCAGCGGGTGTTTGAGGGAGCGATCAGGGATGTCAGGGTCTCCTGGTCTTGGGAAATACGAGACAAGAAATTTTAACCTAATCGTAGTGTGATGCTCTTTGGGCTCTGCCGTGGCTTTTAATGCCACAGCATGGAATGGGGCTAAAAGCGAGCTTACCATGAGCATGTGTGTTCCAAGCTATAAACACGTTTGTACACTGTAGGAAGCCATTGCTTTTGCTTTAAGAAGTCTGGTCGGTTAATTGAAGAGGTGACAATGAGAGGTGTCTGAAATATGACACAAGGGAAATCTCTATACCCATTGGTCCAAATTACCGCAGACTCTCAAACATTACACGCGAGAGGCAGACTGTCAACGTAGCAACAACAGTGAAGAATAGAACATTTTGGAGTCCTCATTGTGAATAAAAGTTTTCTGGATTATTTTTCCATTTGACAATAGCACCATTACTAGCAACAAAATAATTTGCTTTTTCCATTTTCATTACAGTGGGTAAAAGGTCCACAAGTGGAAACTAGAGAAGAGAAACACCATAAAAATATAAAGCAACTGGAGGAACAGGAGTTTCTGAGAGAAAGATACAAAGAGATGGTTTCTGGAGCAGTGCTAATGCGAGAAGCTGAAAGAGCTGGAGGAAACTGAGAAAGAAGAGGAAGCCAGCGGAAAACAAACCAGAAACATTCACTACCGGTGAAAGAAGTTTCAACAAACTCAGCAGCATTTTTAAGATTCCCAGGGCCGTGCACACATATCTGGTACACATACAATAATCACAGACACCACAGAAAAAAACATCAGTTTGGGAAAAAAACTTCTGGAGGGTTCACGGAATTAACAGAGCTGGTTGAATGATATGAAACATATTTTGGAGACTGGAAGCTATTAATTTGGTTCCACATTATTCCTGCAGTCACATTATTTGCTATTCACCATATTTGAATAGCCATCAGGCATTTGTGAAAATGTCTGCGCATCGCCAAAGTTTCATGAATTTTAACTCCAGTGATCACCTGTCCAAAACTTCATCCTGGGAAATATATTTTTCATTATTTATTATTCATTATTTTTTTATTTTAAACGTTTCAGCCATCCAGTCAGGGAGCAGAAACAATCCCATGTGACCTAGGTGATCCGTCAAACCCCCATGAATAATGAATAGTAAATAACTTGTGGACAACCCATAGACTGAGATTTATTTGCACAGCCCCTCTGGTGAATACATGCACATTGCAGAGTTGCTCAGGCACAGAAGAAAGGGCTGAATTCACAGCCCAGGCCGTTTGCAATGACCCATCGTTCAGCCAGCCCTGTATGTGGGCACACGAATGGCAACACCATGTTCCAAGCTGCCCAGGTTCTCTGTGGGGATGAGAAACCCTATAAATGCACCGAGTGTGGGAAAGGCTTTGGGCAGGAGAAGATCCTCCGAGAGCACCAGCGAATCCACACAGGCGAGAGGCCACACAAATGTGCTCACTGCGGGAAAAGCTTCACCTGGAGCACCAGCCTGATCAAGCACCAGCAGATCCACACGGGCGGCAAGCTGCACGCCTGCACCGCGTGCGAGAAGAGCTTCCGGTGGCGGCACAGCCTCCTGCAGCACCAGTCGGTGCACACCGGCGAAAAGCCGCACACCTGCGCCCAGTGCGGCCGCAGCTTTGTGGAGAAGCAGGCGCTGAAGAAGCACGAGAGCATCCACACGGGGGAGAAACCCTTCACCTGCAGCGAGTGCGGGAAGAGCTTCCGGCAGAAGGGCAACCTGGTGTCGCACGAGCGGAGCCACCTGGAGGAGAAGCCGCACCGATGCCCCGAGTGCGGGAAGTGCTTCCGGGAGCAGCGCTTCCTGGCCACCCACCAGCGCACCCACACCCAGGAGCGGCCCTACCAGTGCGCCCAGTGCCAGAAGCGCTTCAGTGCCAAGCAGGGGCTCCGCGTCCACCAGCGCCTGCACACCGGGGAGCGGCCCTTCCACTGCCCCCTGTGCGGGAGGAGCTTCACCGAGAGGAAGAACCTCAACAAGCACCAGCGGACGCACAGCGGGGAGACCCCCTACACCTGCGGGGAGTGCGGGAACAGCTACACCCAGAAGTACAGCCTGAAGGTGCACCAGCGAACCCACAGCGGGGAGACCTCCCACACCTGCAGCGAGTGTGGGGAGAGCTTCAAGCAAAGGAACCACCTGGTGAGCCACCAGCGGAGCCACAAAGCCGGGAGCCTCTACATATGTGCCGAGTGTGGGGAGAGCTACAGCCAGTGGGCTCATCTCACCGCCCACGAGAGAATCCACCCCCGGCAGAGCCAGCCCGCATGCACTGAATATCGGTAACAGAGGCAACGTATCTCAGAGCAGGCCAAGGAGCCACACGAGAGCCCACATCCATACACGAGTTAAGGGCCCCGGCAGCGCCCCAGGTGTAGAGCATTAGCCAGAGCCATTCTGAACCAGAATGCTTCCCAGACAGGTATCAGTATGTCTGGACCTCCCCGTGTTTCCCTGTCTCTCTAAGGCCCCGATCCAATCAATGGGAACCTTTCTGTTGACTTCAGTCGGGATTGGGTCTCAGTTGTGTAGACTGGGTAGAACATGCCATAAACCATTTTACAAGCCAACTAGGTAACAGTGATAAGCATCATGCAGCATTTACGTGGTTTCTAGATTCGCAGGTACTTGTAAACATCAATTAATTAATTGAGGCAGAATCCTAGTCTAGGATGCTGTGTAGGTCCGCCAGTTTGTAACACAGCCCGTAGGGGGCTGGGGATCCATTTGGAAATTGTGTTCACGCCTTCCTGGGACAATTTTATTTCAGAAGAGCTCTGTCTAAAATGTTTTCCCTCTCAGGCAGCAGGGCCAAAGAAACAGGCCACAGAGAATGCTTTGCAGAGCCAATCCTGCTCCCGTTGAAGTCCATGGAGAATTTGCAATCGAGGCCTTTATGTTTGCGGTCTGCGCACAATGCACTTGGAGTAGAAATTGCACACTTTAAAGGGAAGTGATTCCATTTCTATGGCTGGATCCCCTGGCGGCAAACATAACACCAGCACCTTCAGAAAAGGACAGTTGGTGAAAGAACTTCTGGGGGATCCTGGCAAGGATGGACCCATGACAGGCATCACTAACCTCCCTACTGGGTATAGTTGAAGTCTTACATTTAAAAAGCTAATGCCCTCAAGGGACAGGCAGTTTGAGACGGGCAACAAACCCAAACGCACAAAATACACCATACAAAAACCACCAGCCACAACTAACAAAGAGATTCCTCCAATAACACAATGTTGTTAATGTATGATTGGCTCGCTCATCATGAGTGGATGCTGGTATTCCAGTGGGGAAGGAAGCACGCAGTCCCGCCTGTTTCATGGAAGAGTTTGAAGGGGACTTGCTGAATTTAGCTACCAAAGTTCACCCTTTCCACGTAGAGAAATACCACATGTATGCACCACTTGCTGGAGGTGCAGGTCTTGGTGGGATATTTATCAATGACCCTGCTGGACACGAGGGATGGGACCAAGTTCTGGCAGTCATTGGGCAGCAGAAAGATTAGCTTGAAGCACATGCGAAGATGTTCATTCTTCCAGATTTAAGTCCAACCACAGCAAATGGAAGCAAAAAATGTCATGCTGTGAAGCAGAAGTCTTGTGGGTGAGGACACAAGCGTTTCCATTCTGTTTCCTGCCAATGCATGGGCAATTCTTCACAAGTCCTTTACCTGTTGGGACATTGGGTGATGAAATTGGGTGCTGGGAAACACCACACAAGGCAAAGCCAGAGAAAAGGAGGGTTTGAAAGGTGACCCGGGAGATGAATGAGCTGTAACTGTGCCATTTGTATGACACACACTCAGGCTGTGAATGCTGGCTTCCTTAGAATGTATTACTATGATTTATTATTTGCATAATGTCAGCAGGTGCTGAGCAGTTTACAGACAGGTATAAAGGAAAGGCTTTGCCTCGTTGATTTTACAGTTTAGAGTTCCTGTCTACTATATGGTCCTTAATGCACAAACATTAAAATCAGCACCAAGAGTTGTTGATGTCTGTTCCTTACCATTTAATTGTGGTGAGATAGAAGCTACTCAACCTATTGTTTTGTAGAAAGATGTAGCACAGAATTCTCTTTAAATGTGGTACTGATTTTCAAATGTGGTAAGGAGAGTGATCTTGGCAGTTCAGGTCTGTATCTCATAGCCCTAGTAAAAACAGTAAAACATAAGAGAAAAAAAATCACTGATCAGTCACAAGGAACAGAGCCATGAGCAATAACGAGCATGGGTTAATTGTTATGAGGAATATGTTAGGCACAGAGAATGTGTTTGGCGTTGCACAAGACACAAATCGGTTGTCTATAATTAACCGTAACCTGAGGCACTGATGGTCTGTAAGGCAAATGTAGAAAAGATTAGATGTATTAGGAGATTCTCTGTGAAAGGAATACAATTTGCTGTACAAACACAACTGGCAGAACGGCAAATTAGTGGTTAAAGTGACTGCAATAAATCAGAAATGTGAAATATATTTGAATTTTAGTCAAACATTTGATTCTGTGACTCACAAAATTTTCTTTGAAAAGTTAATTCATATTGGATTGAAAACCGGCTGGAAGACCAGTCAGTCTAACCTATCTATGTTCTTATTATGGTTCCCATCACTGGGGTATTTTCACAAAGAGTAATCAGAAATGGTCATGTAACCAGTTATACGGAGGTGTCTCACAGGTTTTACAGGAACTGGTGAGAGGTCCTGTTTTAGTTAACATCTCAGTCCATGATCTGAAAGAGGAGGTGACCAGCACACAAATGAAATCTTTACATGATACCAAATTGGAAGGAGTTGCAAACATCAGACAAGACATGGAAATAATCCCAAGGGTCCTAGTGGCATTAGAGACCTGGGCAGGAAATAACTAAATTAAGATCAACTTGGAAAAAAAGCAGTTAGAACATGTCAAGGAAAGTAACCAGAATCTCATGTACACAGTGGGGAAGGAGACACCTGGGAAGCAGAAATGGCTGGAATGGACCTAGGTGGAGTTCCAAAGAGGATGGAGCTTGGCTGTTCTCAGTGGTGGCAGATGACAGAACAAGCAGCAATGGTCTCAAGTTGCAGTGGGGGAGGTCCAGGTTGGATATTAGGAAACACTTTTTCACTAGGAGGGTGGGGAAGCACTGGAATGGGTTCCCTAGGGAGGTGGTGGAATCTCCATCCTTAGAGGTTTTTTAAGGCCTGGCTTGACAAAGCCCTGGCTGGGATGATTTAGTTAATATATGGAGATATCCTGTCTCCTAGAACTGGAAGGAACCCTGAAAGGTCATAGAGTCCAGCCCCCTGCCTTCACTAGCAGGACCAAATACTGACTTTGCCCCAGATCCCTAAGTGGCCCCCTCAAGGATTGAACTCACAACGCTGGGTTTAGCAGGCCAATGCTCAAACCACTGAGCTGCCCCCCCTTGGTGTTGGTCCTGCTTTGAGCAGAGGGTTGGACTAGATACCTCCTGAGGTCTCTTCCAGCCCTAATATTCTATGATTCCAGGTCTGACAGTGGTCAGCAAATTAGACACATGATGTGGCAGCAAAAAGTTGTGTTCTGCATGCAATTGTTAGCACTAGTTTTCAAAAATCAAATGGGAAAAAAATTCCAAAAAAGTGACCTGCGCATCAGTTATCAGTTATCAGGGAGTTAGTCTGTATCTACAAAAACAACGTGCAGCATCTGAAGAAGTGAGGTTTTTACCCACGAAAGCTTATGCCCAAATAAATCTGTTAGTCTTTAAGGTGCCACCAGACTCCTTGTTGTTTTTATCAGTTATCAGAGCATTTCCTACTGGTCCTTGAAGAGTTCATGTTACAATGTTTAAATGGGCTGGGAAGTTCTCGGATATAGCATAAAGGCCCATGGCCACATGTCCATAGACGCCACCACGACCAACTCAGCTGCACTCCTGCAGCACTGGGGCTCCTCAAACCCAAGAACACAGGGATGGCCCTGAGAACACCATAGCCCTGTGGCTTTCCCCCGTCCCTGGCTCCAGCCACACACTAGAGGGCAGTGGTGCATGGACCTGCTAGCCTGATACTGCACAGTTCTCCTTACCTGTGAGCTGAGGCTGGTAATTTCTTTCTAGATAGTGATGTGGTTAGAAGAAAATTCTCAGTTTTGTTTGGGATGGGGTTTTTGTTGTTGTTTTGCTTTGTTTAATGTAGTTCCTGGCTCTAGCAGCCATGTGGATGCCAGGTGCTGGGCTCTTGGATTGGTCCCCTGCGCCCAGGCCGGCAGGGGCTGGGTTGTGGCATGCAGCAGCAGTACACTTATCTGCACTGGTAGAGCACTCCTTGCCTCTTGACCCCAGACGTGCAGTCCTGTCCCAGGACAGCTCTGGCCAGAGTGGGGCCTTCCAAGGGTCCACAGGAGGGAGTAAAAGAGATGAGCTGCAGGATGGGCTCAGAGGACCACACGCTAGGTTATGCGACTAGCTGAGAACTGTCCTCTCCCGCTCAGGCCATAGGCATACGGACTGGGCCGTTCCATGGGGTTAAAAAACTCATCCTCCCACCCCCGGGAAAGAAGCCAACACTTCACTGATTGATCTCCGGGCAGGCCCTGAGGCTCAGTACACGCAGAGAAATACCGGCCAAGGCATCAGCTCAAAGACCCCAGCTGGCACCAGGGGGCTCATAGGGATCAAACCAGACCTGTGCGAGGAGCTGGGGCACATGGAGATGCCACTCTCATTAGCTGCGGCGGAGTCCTTCATCTTAGGTCCAACGGGATTGTGTGGAAGAACTACTCCAGTGGGAGGAGATTAGGTGACAAATTCAGAGCCTGCAATGAGTTACTGAGACTGGCGTTCTCATCGCAGTAACAGTGCCACTGGTTCAGCGAGGACATGGGAAATGCACACGTTCACCTAGCGCCCGTTGGTGGTGCTGTTTGGGAAACCCAGCGGATTAGTCTTTGGCACATACGTTATGAGGGAGGTCTCTGATCTCCTGAAACTCCACCCTGAAGGCAAGTGATCTCTGAAGAAACCCAGTTTATTGTGTGGATCTCTTCCTTTTGTCTGAATAAATCCCGTTTGCCCCCTGGCGCTGCCTGCCAGGGCCCTTGAACATGCAGGGACAAGCCCCAAGAATACGGCTATGAGATCATTATCGAGCAGAGGTGTTGGGCAGCAGGAGGGAACTGATGGAACAGAGAAAGCTGGGAGGGCGAGAAGGGCTTGTTTCCTGCTCCACCCTATATCTGTTCTGGGTATCCCCTGTTTTGGGGAGAGGGCCTGGTTTGGTTAACCTCTCCGGGAATGCTCCGGAAGAGGAGGTGATCAGCACACCCGTGGATGGCGTCCCTATGGGGCCTTGAGCTCTACTGAAGAAGCTTCCATGGGGAGGAGGATGTGAGGTTGGCATTTCCCCCACCCAGCATCCCTCCTCTGCCAACCCCACATCCCTTATGCTCATGGAAACAGAGGGGAGGAACTGGACCTAAGTCCCTGAATTGTTGCAGTGGCCTTGAGCTCTGAAAATTGAGTACGTTCCCCGTGCCCACAGGGCCTCCCACGTGCTGATGGGACGCTGCTTCTGACAGCCATCGCCGCTCCAGGGCTAAAGATTTCCCCCTGGCTAAGTGCATGTGATTGTCTCCCAAGCCCCAGTGACCACCACAGACTGCTACTGCCTCAAGCTAATAGTGAGGGGTGGTGGTTTTCTTTAGCTGAACTGGTAGAAGCCAGTGGTTTAAGCGCTGAAGTTCCTGGGCCGTGAGAGTGGGGACAGCCGTATCTATGCAGCTAGTTCGTTACACCTAACCGGGGGCTGATGCTGGAAAATCATGGGTGAGCCGTGATCAGGACAGATTTTCACCGAAATCAATCATCACACAGTGGAGTTCCTTTCAAAACACACCTTCCTTTATTGATCTCTAGCATTGCAGCTACAGTACCAGAGAGACACCCCATCATTTCCACCCCCACTTTAATAGCTGCTTCCCCCCAGGATTAACCCTCACCAGACATGCCCCTCCCCTACACCCTCCTGTCTTAGTTTCACATCCTTTAATCAACCCATCTCTACCACCCCTTCTGCCCAGGCAGGGATCACTACAAGAATTCAAACAGAGTTAAAGACCCAGGAGCCTCTATAGAAATACGAGCCATCATGTGCCTTAATCAGGAATACGGCACTTTCCAGTCATAGAAATGGTACCCGCGCATTCCCAAAGAGAAACTTACCCAGCCAATCCTCTGGGGTTACAGACAACATTTAGATTTACTTTTTTTAAATAAAGGGTGTTGGGAGGGTGAGGATCTCAAAAACCTCGTACCGATGGGAGTGTTTGCATGAATCTCTGACAATGAGATACACGTGCTCTCTCATCCAGGGTGGGTACCCTATCCCCTAGTAGGATGAGGGTTATCATATTTGCTCCTCGGTCACTAAGGCCTCTGACCCTGATCCAGCGAAGCACTTACCTCTTGCTTAACGTTAAGCCGGTGAGTGGTCACCCTGACACCAATGCATGTGCTAAAGCGCTTTGCTTGATCAAGGGCATATTGAACCTTTCTGCTCCTATTCCCACTGACGACAATGAGAGCCTGTCCATTTATTTCAACAGGAGGTGGACTGGGCCCTAAAGTCTGATCGCTGATGTTAATCTCTGGATGTATCAGCTGTTATGACTTGAAATCCATGGGTTAATTCTACCCCAGAACAGCTCCACTGAAATGACCCCCCTCCTCCCAGATGTTTAATATTCCCCTGTGGCACTGGGAACCCAGTAAGGATATGCCCATGGGGAGACCCAGAGAGTGAAAATGGCTAGAAACTAAAACTGACCAATCTGGTTTCATTGTCCAGGCAGAGTGACATGTAACAATGAGCAAACAGCAGAAAACTATGAAAGGAAAATTCATTTTTCCAAACCATTTCTGTTTTACTCATCTGCACGTCTGAGAGTGACACAGGCAGGAACTGTCTGTGTTGGACATCTCTTGCGTTTTATGCTGACTGCACTGACGGCCTTTTCCAGCAGCTGCCTCTCCCAGAGGAAACAGACTGAATTCTTGCCCTCCTCACATGCAGCAGAAACTTGCCTCCTTTTGGAACATTAATGAAACCTTCCCCTTCTGCCCAGAATCTTCGGGCATAGAACAGAACATCCCAAACCCAACCAGAAAGGACCAGAAGAGACTAGAACAGGAGGTGGGAAATACCACAAAGGGAAAAACAGGGATGCAATTACATGCCACTGGCATAGCAACGCTCCTTGAACTGGCCTGTAACAGCAAACACTCCAGTGCATCCACTTGGTGATTTCTTGCTGTCCTGTACAGCAAGGGGAGCGAACAAGATTTTTCCAACATACATGACATTTGTATGATGTCTCTCCTTGTGTTTTAACAGAATATTTTCCCACCTTCAGGAGGTCTCAGGCCTATATTCAGAATTACAGATTCATGGAATTTAAAGCCAGAAGAAATCACTGTGCTCCTTTAATCAGACCTCCTGCACCGGCCAAGTCACAAAACGATACCCAGTGATTCCTGCAGAGGAGAGAATTATTCTTAGCTTATCTTTGCAGCTCCCTAGTTCTCCAGTTCTGGGTAAGTGACCTCACTCATGCAGATTTATCTTGTGAGGAGCGTGCCTGCCCTCGGGGCATTTAAATGGTCTCCTCTGGTATGGATTCTCTGGACTATAATGCGGTCACTGATAGCTAAGGCGTGTCCCAAGCTCAGAGCAGGTAAATGGGGCCCCTCCTTTGTGGATTTTCTCAGATGTCACCAGGAACATCCTCAGACCAAGCCTCTCCCACATTCAGTTCATTGGGATGGTCTCTGGGGTTTTGGGAGCCTGCTTCTCCCTGAAGGTTTTCCAGCAAGGACTATAGTCGCTTAGTCTCTGCTCTGTGCAGGGTCCCTGGTGATTTAGAAGAAATCTCTGTAAGTTTTTTTTTTTTATTAATTAGGAGGATAACACAGTTTCTGTGGGGTGGATGAGATCCTGCTTCAGGTGCCACCTTCTCTCCTGTGTGGTTTCTAGGAGAGGTGGCTGTGGGATGAAGCTTTTCCACCATCTACAATGTATTAATATTTCACATGAGTCATGAGATCCTGCTTCTTTTTCACACTCATCCTTCTCGCTCCCTGGATAAAGGAACACATTCAGAGATTAATTCATGCACTAGTGGAAAATTTCCAACTACCCGGATAATGCAAACAATACGGAGCACAAATAAACAGAGCTTTACGGGCCAGCGCCAGGGCCAAACAGCCCAGAGCGAGAGCTGGGTGGGGGGAAGCCGGGCAAACATGACTGACAACGGCTGTAATTTACACGGCTTTGCAATGGTCACAAGGCGCTATTAATTCAGCCAAGGGCTGGGATGGTGCTGCCACATCTGCTTTCTCTGGGCGCACCCCTCTGCTCTTTCCACTGGCACCAGCTGCCCTCACGGCATTCCCCTAACTCAGAGCAGCTGGTACCTTTGTGCTTCCGCTATCCCAAAAGGGGCTGCAGCAGAAGCAACCAAACCTCCCAGCTGAGGGTATTTAACCAACACTCCACGGGCCGTGTCTAATTGGCAAAAAGTGAGTGCAGCTGCCCTAATCCTTAATACGGAGGAGGGGCTTACGGAGAACCCGGATCCCTGCTTGCCTGGCCTCGACTTGCTCTGAGCAGCCAGGCCAACACCGTATGGAAGACCAGGGCCACCCTGTAGAAGACTGTGGCCTGCAGTGATCCCAGGGCTGAATTTTGGCCAGGCCAGAACTATGGGCTTTAAGGTCCTGAAGGCTGCAATGCTCCAAGACGGAGAGAAAGTGAAGGGAGCTGTTCCTAGTTTTCAGGGGTGCTGGGCATTCACAGCTCCCGTGGGAGCCAGCAGGAGTGGGTGTTCAGCACCTCTGAAAAGCAGGCCACCCAGGTCTGATCCTGCAAGATGTCAGGCTGAAGGGTACTGACGGGACTCAGCCCTTCACAGGATCAGTCCCTACAGCAGCAGTAAAGAACTTCGCCGTGAGTTTCCCTCATTGTTTAGTTCATCTGCTCCCAAGCACAGGGAGCCGAGTGAGCAGGGACAGGGACAGGGAGCTGGGAGAGGGACGTGGGTGGAGAGTGCCTCGCTGGAGGGCGAGGCCATCACCTTGGAGCCAGGGGGCTGGGACTTGGGATTCCTTCTGGGGCTTCTACGTGGGGTGGACATGAAGAGCACGAACCTGACTGGCCAATGGAAAGAGGAGCTGTAAAGGGGGCCCCAGAGTCAGTGCGTGAAGACAATCAGTCTCCCCTGTGGGGACTCCGGGGTGTATAAGGAGCGACTCCGGACACCCAGAACGTTCACATGGCGTCTCTGCCGTTCAGCCTCTCACGTGCAGTGCAGTCCCGGGCCCCTCCGGGAGCTCCCAGCGGAGTTCAGAGCTATCCGCTCTGTAAAGCTTTTAACACGACGTCAGGCTCATGTGAGGGCTTTGTCTCCCAGGTGGGTTCTCTGGTGCGTAGTCAGGTTTATCTTCTGCGTGAAGGTTTTCCCGCACTCGGGGCACGTGAAGGGGGTATCCCCGGTGTGGATTCTCTGGTGGATTTTCAGCGAGCCTTTCTGGCTGAAGTGCTTCCCGCACTCGGGGCAGGCGAAGGGTCGCTCCCCGGTGTGGATGCGCTGGTGGGTGACGAGGCCGCTCTTGCAACTGAAGCTCTTCCCGCACTCGCCGCAGGGGAACGGGCTCCCCCCTTGGTGGGTCTTCTCGTGCGTCACCAGGAACGTGCGCTGACTGAAGCTCTTCCCGCACTCGGTGCACTGGTAGGGCCTGTCCCCACTATGGGTCCGCTGGTGGCTGGCCAGCGTCTGCTTCTCCTTGAAGGACTTGCCACAGTCGCTGCATTCGTAGGGCCGCTCCTCCGTGTGGGTCCTCTGGTGGTTGAGGAGGAACCGCTGCTCCCGGAAGCTCTTCCCGCACTCGGGGCAGGCGAAGGGCCGCTCCCCGGTGTGGATGCGCTGGTGGGTGACCAGGTTCTGCTTGAGGCTGAAGCTCTTCTGGCAGACGCTGCACTTGTAGGGCCGCTCGCCCGTGTGCGTGCGCTGGTGGATGATCAGGTTGTGCTTGAGGCTGAAGCTCTTACCGCACTCGGGGCAGATGTAGGCCCGCTCCCCCGCGTGGTTCTTCTGGTGCCGGGTCAGGCTGGGCTGCTGGTTGAAGCATCTCCCGCACAGAATGCATTTGTACTCCCGCTCCTCCGCCTGGCTGTGGATTACCAGATTTCTCTCATCGCTAAAGCTTTCGTCGCAAGCCGGAAACGCGAACGGCCTGTCTCCGGGGGGGGACGTCAGGTGAGTCATGAGATCCTGCTCCTGCTCCGCACTCATGGGACCGTCATCTCCTGGGTAAACAAACACACTGCAGATATTAACCCAGGCCCCGGGGGGAAAGAGCCATGAACACACCATTGAACGCTCACCAGTCTCCTCACTCCTCACAGCATCAACAACCATTAACTCTGCCTGAAGACAGCTGGGTTTTATTATTATTAACCACACCCCCGTTCCATTGATTTCGCCACTTCTACTCGGAATAGCCCCAGTGCCGTTGACAAAGATAAACGGATACAGAGATTAACGGGATCACGCTGAAATGCGGCCTCCTCTAGGGTGGAATACAGGAGCCCTAAAACACCACACAACAACGCTACACAACAGTTGAGCACTCAAAATGAAGACTCCAATTTCAGCTGCGGGGGAATTTAAATAAGGACAGTGTAACCAATCGAGTCAAACAGGGCACTGACTTTTACCAAGTGTGCCCTGGCCCCTGTAATGACGATCAGTGATCAGGGCCTGACTGTCTTTTATACCTCACCCGAAGGATGGTAACTATAGCAACAGGGACCGGTAGGGTGGTATTTATTCAGAACTGGAGTAGAGGGAAGAGTGACATCTGTTCAATCTCACCACTTGTTCCTACCACATCTGTGTGTTCCTGGAAGGTCTCCAACTCTCCTCGCCTGATTGCTTAATGGGAAGGCATGATGGGATCACAGCCCAAGGTGATCTAGCTGGTGGCTGGGGGGTTCCTCATTGTTTGAATACGTTGCAACCAGAGGGAAGTTGTCCCTTTGCATGAGGAGCCTTGGTATACTTAGGGTGACCAGATTGCCCGATTTTATAGGGACAGTCCCAGTTTTTGGGGTCTTTTTCTTATATAGGTTCCTATTGCCCCCCACCCCGTCCTGATTTTTCACATCTGCTGTCTGGTCACCCTAGGTATACACTAAAGCAGCTGAATGAGGGTGCCCAAAATTTCCCCAGCAGGTGACTGTGTTGAGACCCAGGAGTCCAAGTGATGAATGTCCTTTCCACAAAGTGAGGCTGGTATCGGCCAAACTCCCCCTTCATATTGCAGCCCACAGAGACAAGTCCCAGCATGCCACGGGCCAGAGTCCCACCATGCCACGAATCAGGCCGAGCCGTGGATCAGACAGTACTGCCCGCTGGGCCCTGTGCAGCCCGTAGTGCCCAGCGCTGTGCTCCGCATGTAGACAGGGCAGGCAGCGTGTTACATCCCCAACAGCCAGGGCCAAAGGTTCATTCGCTGAGCCCCACCGCGGCCCGGCGAGGCGTTAACCTCCTTCTCCAGCGAGCCAGAGGCGAAGTGACTTGCCCAAGGTCGCGCGGCCAGGCAGTGGCAGAGTTTGTACTCAATAGGAGCGGTTGACACTCCCTTGTGCTGATACACCGGCAGCCTCTCGGACAGCAGGGGCCGCGCCCCTGGGTCTGCAGCGTGGGCTCCGCCTGGGGAAGAGCCGTGTGAATGCACCGGCGTGTGCTGCCCCCCAACACCCACCCACCCACCCGCGTTCACCCCGGTACAGCCCCGCCCCCACATCCCCGCCGGGCCCCGGCCACGCGAAGCAGCAAGTCGCGGTCCCCCTCCCACGCGCGTTTCGTTCTGCGGAACACCCACGCGAGCGCCCTTACCCGGATCCGATTTCACTCCGGCGTGGCCGCGCGCGGACACTGCCCCGGGCCGGGACCCGCAGGAGGTCTGTGTACAACCGCCCAGCCCGGGCTGGTCCCCGGGAGACAGGGGCTTGGTCCCGGCCGGGTGCGACTCCCCTGGCTCCCTCGGTGCAAACGGGCCGGGAACTGGCTGGGAGCGTCCGACCGGAGCGGAGTCTGCGGGGCCTGCCTCGGTGCGGGGCGCCGGGCTGCAATGCGGAGCTCGCTGCGTCTCGCTTCGCTTTCCACGCGTGCCCCAGCCCCGCTCCGCGCTCGGCGGCAGGACGCCCCGGGCGGGAGCGGCCGGAGTCACACCGCACGGGCTAGTGGCCAGGCGGTGCCGGGAAATCAGCTCGCCCTTGGCGAGTCACGCCGAGCCTGCGCCATTGTGCGGGGCTCGCAGCCTTGCAATGCATCCCTGGGAGCGGCGGGAGCACTTCCTGCCAGGGAAGGCGGCTGCCCGCGATTGCGGCAATTTCCTGTTTGATCGGGGGTGGGAACGGGCTGACAGGCCTCCGCCATGGAGAGGAGCCGGGCCAGACAAACCCCGGCCCCAGGATCGGGCCGGGGAGCAGAGCTCGGGGTAGTGTCAGAGCTTCTCTCGCCCCACAACAGAAGTTGGTCCAATAAAAGATCTCACCTCCCCCACCTTGTGTCTCTCGTCTCCTGGGCCCCACAGGCGACAACACCACTGCAGACACACGTCTGTCCTCTGTACGGCTCCGTATCCTCCCAGAGCAGCCCCCTTCCCGGGCTCAAAGACAGTCTGGTCACCGTGTGCGGATGAATCCAGAAAGCGACCTGCAAAGGGGTGAAATGGGTTTGTGCCTAAAAAAAAAGCTATATGATGTATAAAAAAAGGCAGTTCTTCCTCCTCCCTCCCCCCCCTTGCTTTTTACATTAGAAATTTAGGTCTTGTTTAAGCTGTTTTTTTTTTCTGGAAGACTCTATGGATGACTAGAAAACTCTGAATGGCTGGAGATGCTCAAATACTGTGAAGATGAGGATGGTATAAAAAGACAGACGGACAAACAGAACTAGACTTAGGGCACTTCATTCAAGTGACCCTTGATTCAGTGAGTGGGGAGAGCATTGTTATTCAGCACATTTAAAACACTTTGGGTTTTGTTTGCTTTTGTTGACACACTTAACTCAGATGCCCGAGAAACACTTGGAAGAACGTTTATCTTTGTTAAAAATTCAGCCCTGGCCCTGATCCCTTCTGTTAAGGGCTAGGGAAATTCACAATCCTTATTGCCCCCCCCACCCCGAACACTGCTGCTAACACCTTCCCGCTTCAGGTCACCCCACTTCATCCAACCCCGCTCTGTCCCCCCACTGGCTCCCCCTTCTCCACGGCAGCCAACACCAGCTTCTTGTCTTTCCCTGTAAGGCACTTTGTGACTTAGCCTCACGCTCTCTGATCTGGTATTTTACCCCACCTTCGCACTGACAAATAACCCGGCCTTCGCCGTCCACCACTCCGCTTCGAGCCTCAGACATGCCTGTGCTTTCTTCAGTAGACGTTCCCCAGCAAGATCTGCCCAGCTACCAGCCTCTGCCTGTAAATCCCTTCCGAAAACTCCCCTCGGCTGCGGTGCCTACAGCGCTCTGCCGGCTGACACAGGGCGGGGAGAGAGGATGAAATGTACAGACAAGGTCAGAGGGCAGCTTGGATGTTGTATTTATAGCTTCCAAGGCCAGAAGGGACCTTTGGGATCATTTGGTCCGACCCCCTGTATAACACAGGCCAGGGAACTACCCCCAAAATAATTCCTAGAGCAGAGCTCTTTAGACAAACAGCCTGCCTTGGTTTTAAAATGACCAGTAATAAGATAATCCACAGGACTAAATGGTGGTGAATCATCCATGATCTAATCGTATCCACGGGTTTATAACACGCCCATCACCGGAGTATCTAAGCAAAACCAATGCACTTGATATGTAAAGAAATCTGTACCAAGCCCTTTTCCCACAAGTATGTTTGCACCTGCAGTAAATAGTGCCAGGATGTTTGCACCACACGCCAGTCTGGGTGCACGTACTTCACTCTCTAAATGCTACAGTACGTGCCCCCAGTTAAAAGGTGCCCACCAACATCGGAGGGTGGCCCTGAAAAGCTGTGCCCACATCAGAGGACTCTACTCATGCAAGTGGCTCCATTGAGGGCTGGAGGATCAGACGAGGGTGACCAGATGTCCCGATTTTATAGGGACCGTCCTGATCTTTGGGGCTTTTTCTGATATAGGCGCCTATTACCCCCCACCCTCTGTCTCGATTTTTCACACTTGCTGTCTGGTCACCCTAGATCAGACCCCTAGTCTCTGGTTACTTATTCCCAAATGTAAAGAGACTGGTTTGTAATGCAGAGGGGAGGGGCTTTGCTGGCAGTCACGTGTGGGAAGGTTTGGCACAGCAGCCCTGCAGAAAACAAAGGGTTTGCATGACCGCTCCGTGGGCTGATGGGAAGTGTAGTTCTCCCTCTCTGACAAGGTTAAAAACCATCTGTGCTGTGATCCCAGGCAGCTCCAGTACCTTCGGGGAAGGACTACAGCTCCCAGGGATGCCTTACAGCTCGGCAGGAGTAAAAGCCTTACAATAGATGGGGCTCTGTGGGTCTAACACAGCACACGTGACCTCTGTGGGTAACTGCCTTATTCCTCAGCATCCTCAGTTTGTCAGCGTTTGCTTTAAAAAAACAACCTTATAGTCCTGCTGCAGATCTCCCCCTTTCTCTTTTCTCTAATCTCTCAGTGCCTTTCCTGGTAGCTGCTGAAATCAGACCAGAGCCCCTCTGCGCTGGCAGCCATTAAGAGAGAAAAACCAGGATCTCTAAATACTGATTGATAAAAAAGACCAGATCTGGAGTCCTCCTTATCTGCTGAGTTCCAGCCCAGACAGCCCATCTACACCCGGTGCATCCCAGCCCCAGAGGGGAATGGCTGAGGAGATCTCCGCTCAGGTAGGACATTTACCCTGGACATCGTGTTTGCAGATCAATTATAAACACCCCGAAGAACCTGTCAGGAAGCAGACTGCGATCTCAGTTACGCTGGTGTAAATCCAGAGCAGCTCCACTGAATTAAGTGGAGTGGCTCCAGATTTACACGGAGAGCAGAATGTGTCTCTGTGTCCTGATAAAAAGAACAGGAGTACTTGTGGCACCTTAGAGACTAACAAATTTGTGTCCTGATACTCAGCCTGGCTGCAGCGAGGGTGACCAGACAGCAAGTGGAAAAATCGGGACAGAGATGAGGGGTGATAGGCGCCTGTATAAGACAAAGGCCTGAATATAGGGACTGTCCCTATAAAATCGGGACATCTGGTCGCCCTAGCTGCAGCCTGCAGGTTTCTCAGTCCACAGGTGGAGACTTGGATTTTGTTCTACTGGAGCAGTGTCTAATGAAAGGGTAAAATGCCTCTCTCTGCTGGGGCTCCGTTATCAAGTCATAGATTCCCAAGCCAGGCGGGACCGTTCATTGTAATCAACTCCTCTGACCTCCTGTGTAATACAGGCCAGAGAATGGACCCCAAATAATTCCTGGAGCAGAGCTCTTAGACCAGCGCTGCCTAGGAGCATGGAATAGACACATTTGCACTGCCCCCATCTGCCCTACACAGCAAAGCGGTGCCGGGCTGTCATATCTGAGGGGTCTGTCCTGCAGCACCACATCTCTCTACAGAGCCGGGGAGGTGTTGTAGCTGTCAGCAGGTGCATGTTCCATTTGAAAACATGGCCTGAGATGGTTGAGACGTGCACGCGGGCTGAAGAACCTCGTTTTAGAGATGGCTCATGGAAGGGGATTATCTAGAGTCTTAGCCCAGGTCTACACTAGTGGGGGGGTCGACCTAAGATACGCGTAGCTGAAGTCGGCGTATCTTAGGTCAACTTACCTGGCCGTGAGGACAGCGGTGAGTCAACCGCTGCTGCTCCCCCGTGGACTTCGCTTCTGCCTCTCGTGAGCTGGAGTTCCAGAGTCCACTGGGAGCGCGATCGGGGATCGATTTTATCGCGTCTACACTAGACGCGATAAATCGACCCCCAATAGATTGATCACCGCCGATCCGGCGGGTAGTGAAGACCTGCCCTTAGACTGGAGCGCAGGTTAGAGGCTGAACCAGGACTAGCGGGTTATATTCAGCAGCACGGAGCCCGGCCGTTCTTGTGGGATTTCATCCCCAAACAGCAGAGACCTCACGAGAGCAGCTGCTCTCAAGGCTTGTGCCACATGAGGCCAAAATCAGGTGAGAACAGGTTTCCGCTTTAGCCAGGACAGGAAAATAAGACCCTGCCAGGTTTAGAATCCAACTAGAGTCCGTATCAGCCCCTCCGCTTTGGAAGGGGTTTGGATCGTAGGCTCTGCAGCGTTAATAGCTGTTGTACTGGGGAAGAGAATTAGAAAAATAACCCAGGGTTATGGTCACCTAAATGTGTAACTGCTCTGCGCAGGCTGGGCATGTTCTGTGGAGGAGCTGAAAGTAACGATCCGTGCAGACAAACCATTCCTCGGCAAGGCAGCGCCATGTATTGGAGATAACCAGCGCTGTATTTGCACCCACAAGACACACCGTATGCCTGTAGCTAGTTGAAGGGCAAATGGCAGTTTTCAGGAAGGTACGTGCCGCACAAGGGTTCCAGAACCGGGCAGTCTCACAATCCCGTTATAAACCCTCCGGTTCCCGGAATTTGTTCCCCTGTTTCCCACTTAACACGCTGTTAACCCCTGTGCGCGCGCACATGCACACACAGCAGCTTTTAACCTCACACCGATACCATAGCCCTTCCCGTTCCAGGAGGGCACTGAGCGGGTCGCTGTTTGTGTTTCAGAGCCTGGTAACGTTTGAGGATGTCAGTGTCTATTTCTCCCCGGAGGAGTGGGAGATTTTGGAAGAGTGGCAGCGGGAGCTTTACCGGGACGTCATGAGGGACAACTATGAGCTTCTGATCTCAATGGGTAAAAATCAACAATTGTTTTTCCTTTGCTTTTTGGATAGCCTGATTCTGGGCATGTCTGGGGTGACTTCAGTTTATCAGTTTGGACCACATTTTTAAGGGTTTGATTTCAATGGGTTAGGCCCGTAAGTGCTTTTGAAATCCCACTAGGTGCTGATCTGCATCTTTATGCATCTGGATATCTTTAAACATCTGGCCCTTTCTCTTTCTCCACCATGGTGACGCTGTGGGCCTGATTCTGAGCTCAGTTACGCTAATGTAAATCTGGAGTAACTCCAGTGAGGTCCATGGAGACTCACCACTGTAAACGTGGGTTAAGTGAGAGCAGAATCGTGCTCCGTGAATGGAAACAAGGCAGTACCATGCCTCTGCTCTGACCCACTCATCTGGAAATGGGGGTGAACAGTGAAATGGCAAAGTTTGCAGATGATACAAAATGATTCAAGACAGTGAAGTTCAAAGCAGACTGCGAAGCGCTACAAAGGGACCTCACAAAGCTGGGTGACAACAGGGCAACAACATGGCAGATGAAATTCAACCTTGACAGGTGCAAAGTAACGCACACTGGGAAAAAATAATCCCGACTACACATTTATAATGATGGGTTCTCAATTAGCTGTCACCACTTAGAGAGATTTTGGAGTCTCCATGGATAGTTCAGCTCAATGTGCAGCAATGGTCTAAAAGGCTAACAGATTCATGACCTATGAAGGAAGGCTGAAAGAATTGGGTTTGTGTAGTTTGGAAAAGAGAAGACTGAGAGGGGACATGATAGCTGTTTTCAGGTATTTAAAAGGGTGTCATAAGGAGGAGGGAG